TTCAGAGGGCCCGTTGCTGCTTTCTTGTTGGGGTTCGTCAACATAGCAATCGGTGAACTGATCATACATAAATACATATTTCATGGACACTGGAAAGTATCAAAGGAGACACACATACCGGATGTCACCACTCGAAATCCATTCCCGGGCTGTTCACAAATGACGCAAAAAAGTGACGGTTGATGACGGTGGGATAGTAAAAAAAATGACGTCATCACCGAAACCCCTAAACTTTGAATCGCCGGTTTCTGAGAAACACCGCAAAACTTTTAAAATTTGAGTACTTTCCTGGTCTTTTTAGTCAGCTATCGGAGATGTGTCTGTTGTGCGAGGGAGTCTGTCGTAGAAGACACTTCCTCTCCTCAGTACGTCATACAGTATCTTTTCTAACCGACGAGAATTTGTTCTATTTCTTCCTAAAAGTGGTACAACAAAAAGTTAGTTTTCGAGCATCTTTGTTCCGCGCTGAATGTTCAACATCTTTGAAACAAAGAAGCAGCAGATTCCGCAGCAAAAGAATAAAGACCCTTATTTATCGACCAATCACGCGAGTAAATTAACCCATTGACTATTACCCTTTTGTTTCACCCAGAATTTGTAGTACACTAAAAATTAAAAATTACCTCGCGCAGCGAAAATCATTTTTACTGTACTCTTCTAGGGAAAAAAATCTGAGGACCATAATGACGTCACTTTAGAGGGCGAAGCCGGAAAAAGTGACGGTTAACGACGGTGGGGGAGAGTCAAAAATGACCCATTTTTTGATGACGTCATTTCAGAACAGCCCGTCATCCTGCTTCACAACCAAATCATGAAGTTTTTCAACTCCATATTCCATCCCTTCTATGTTCAACATTGGTTAGCTCATCACAAACATGTTATCATCGACACGAAACATATTGGTGAGCATGGAGAATGTTCAGAGCATCTCCGACTTAAAACACTACAACAGTAGCCCAACAACACAGCGTCCTTACTGAATTCTTCCATGGGCATGGACGGAAATATTTATGGACTCATTTATCAATATGCACTGCTTGTCTTCACTCCTCTGCCATATTGTGGACTTGTATTCTGGCATGACAAACCATGGTCTCTCCTTACTTATCTACTTCCTTCATTACTATTACCCCTTTCCACTATTTATCATAAGTATCTGCATATGTCTGATGTTTCTCGAAAAATTCCTTGGTACTATCGGTGGTTAGTGTCAGATGCCGGGGATCAAGTCGTCAAAAAGCATTTCATGCATCATTACATGAACAATGATCGTAATTGGACATATTATATAAACTTAAACTGTAACTTGTTAGTCACCATAAACAATATTTCCTTGAGGTGTATTTAAATCTGGACTATATGATTGATGATTAATATCATCATCTTCACTACAAATATGACCACTTTCGAGTTTTAATAACTGAAAAAATGAACGACATTTTTTCTCTCCCTCTATTGCTAAATCCCGATTACTCGAAACAATGTTAACAGCATCTCCACATAAAGCAAAAAATGCAGCTGCTAGTCCTACAATAAGAGTTTTACCTTCACCTGTTCTAACTTCTTCAAGTAAACCTTTGTCTTTACTATGGATAAAAAGTAATAAAAGCAATTATTTGAGTATCTTTTGGAAATTGTGGTTTATTAGCAACTGACCAAGTATAAAATATTAATGGAATAATATCATTTAAATGAGATCGAATATATTCTTCGGGAGTATTTTGATAAGAACTAAGATTAAGTGTATTTTGAATTTCTCGATTAATATAAGATTTTTCATCTCCTTCTAATACATTTATTTTCTTAGCTCTTTCTCGATAGACTATTGTTTCTTTAGCAATTATCCTCCGAGTTTCTTTTGAAATAACATTAGTGCTGTTCTTTTGTTCTTCAATCATTTGTTTAATTATGTCTTCTGCTGAACGATCAGATTTATCAGTATTCGCATAATGATCTTTTTTAAATTTTTTTATTTCTTTGTGCCAATCTCGATAAACAAATTTGAGAATAATTTCATTTGTTTGTTCAAAAGATATTTCTTGGTAATGGATAGTTTGTAATAGCTCATTCAGGTTTTTAATACTTTTTTCTTCTTCTGTATCCTTTATTTTTACTGAAATATTTTGAAAAAAATCTAGAAATTGATTATTATTTTCAATACCTAATTTGACTCTAATACGATTTAAATATAATAAAGTCTTTTCCACACCATCTTCACTAAGGTTAATCCCAAATTTATGCATTTCTCTATTGAAAATCTGAGAAAATTCCATTTCATATAAAAGTGTATCCCAAACTGCTAATGAAGCATCAGATAACTGATCTAAAATTTCTGTAGTTGAAGGTATCTTTCCCAGTAAGTGTACAATAGTAAGAAACTTTTCTTTATTAATTTTTTTATAATCAGGAATAGAATTTTTATTTGAATAAATGGCTTGCCGTATTTGATCACTATATTGCGTAACAAACACATTATTAAATAACAATAAGACATTCGAAACATGTTAATGGAAATAAGTGAGAGAATCTTCTATTTCTTTTTCATGAGGAAATATTAAATAAAATTTTCTAGAATATGTTCTATTAATACTGTTTTTAGCCATTCATTTTGAGATGAAGATGATAACTTTTCAATTACTAAACGAATATCTTCAAAACAACATAAACATTGTTGTATTTTTATGAATATATTTCTTTTTATTACAAGACTACCATCTGTTTTTAGTCGATCATTAAATATATCAAGTAAATTATTAAAATTCAAGACATGATATGAACTTATTTTCTCGAAAGAACGACAATTTTCTTCTATCTTTATATATCCATTTAATTCTTTAAAAATACTTTCTGATTGATTTCTAAACTCAGAATAATCATTTTGGTTATCTGTTATTATTAATTGATAAAAATTTTCTAATTTTGTTTCTTGCATAAAAAAAACTCTTTGAAAAATAATCTTTTGAATTTCATTGAGTTCATTATTTGTAATTGATCTTGATGTTTTCGGAATAAGATTAAATATTTTATCAATATCTATCTTAAAAAAATATTCTGGAAAATAAATAATTACTCCTAACCATTTTGCATCTGAATATTTTTCAGAAATAATTTTCATATATTTTTGTATATAAATACTTTTCATTCCTTAATAAATAGTAGAAATCGACGTATTTAAAAATATATATTGATCAGAATTATCATTAGATTTTTTTTATATAAATCTTCTATTTTTATTGATAATTCCTTTAATTGTTCAATATGATCTATTTCTATCTTAACATTTTCAATATTTTCTATCGATCCGTATGATGAAAGTGTTTGAAATAACCAAGATAAAAAATCTATAAATTTCTCATTAATATCTCCTAATAAATTTCCTTCTTCAAATAAAATATGAAGTAAAATCACTCGAAATTGTCTGTGATTAATATTATTAACATCAAAATATAAAATATCTTGATGTGTTCTATTAATAAGTTTCATTAATTGAATTAAACTATTAAAAAGACTTTTCTCATTTTCTAAATTTAACAAAGTAATATGTGTTTGACAATATTTATAAAATCCTTTATAAATATCATCAAGGTACTTTGATTTTTTATTTAATTCTCCGTATAAAAAAGTTAATAGAATTTCATCATTTTTTATTTGTTTTCCTTCAGTACAAGAACGTTTCTCGATATATGTCTTAATAGACTTTAGTTCACTATTAAAAACTGGATAAGAGTTAGTTAAATCAATTAAGACTTGTTCTCTTAAATTCACTAATGTTTTTTCATTTCGTAAGTTCATTTGTAAATTCTTAATAGTCTTAGTTAAAGAACGGCTTGGCCAGCTAACGGTACACCAGAGTGCGGAAGTATGAAGCGTTAAATGAAGTGGTAAAACTAATCTTATGTGAAAGAGCACACTTTAAAGTGTAGGAAAATAATTTTCGTTTGCTTTTATTAGTACCTGAGCACATGGTAAATATTCAATGAACATGTAATCGAAACAAACCACCCAGCAGTTTATTTTATGCACACATCTACAGAAATATAGAAGAAAAAGCTTCTGCAATAAACAGA